ACGTTTGAAAGTGTTCTTTTAATATAGAACTAAACTGCCTTTATCGATAAACTTTGAGTTCGAAATAAAATGATTCCAAATTCTCCCATGTAAATAACTTTGCTTAGTATAATAAAAAGTGTAATCAATAAAGAAACACTGAAGTAATACGCTGTCTTGTTTCATATTTTATATACGCAACGATCGGCTTTTAAAGTAATTACAGCCGAGATTACAGTATATTAAAAGCAAACATTGCATCAATATTTAAAACAAACTTACCTTCGTTAACGTCGGCACCTTTATTTCCTTCTTTTAGCAATCCTCTTGCCTTTATTTCATCAAAAACCTTTGCAATTTACAAAATCTTGCAAAAATGAAATATATTTGCAAGAAATCATCAAATCAATTTCGCTGTCGTCAATCGTCATGCAGCCGTTATAACATAGATTAAGTAAGAACAGATGTACTGTAACTTCAGTAAAAAAGTTGTCCCACGGTCGCCATCTTCCTAGCACAGAATAGATACCGGACCAGAAGGGACACTCCTATGTGATTTGACTGAAGGAAAACGTCCGAAATTTTTTTACGTGCAATGACGCCATCCTGGAGTGCACACGGCAGTTTGTACCTATGTTTTCCTATGAAAAACTTCCGTGTGCACTCCAGGATGGCGTCATATGATGGCGTATTTTCACGTCAGCACTTGTAAAATTTCGGACAAAATATCGTCTGAGTGACACTTCTGGTTGTGTATCTATTCTGTGTTCCTAGCAAGTGTCGCTCGCGTGACAATTCGTCATTTGGTAATACGTCATTGCTTTCAAAATGCTTTCAACACCTTTTTCACAACTGTAATTGCTTTTAACAACTTTAAACATTCAAAAAATGATGCTCTTGATTGTTTAATCAATAAATTTCTATCCAAAAAAGCCGCAATAAAATGCAAAAGTTCATGTTTTCCAGGACGCCATCTTCCTAGCAAGTGTCATGGCGTGAGCATGACGTGTACATCTGGGGAAATTTGAGGACACGAATTCCTATTAAGTTACACATCTGGTATATACTTCATCTGTGGTTACAATGCCAATTTTAAATTGGACCAATCAGTGTTGGCTATTCATTACAGTCCGCTATATTGTGAGATCAGTGAGGATGACCACCCACAGAAACACGCACAGTGATCCACGCCCGCGATATTTGATGAACTTTAGACTTCGCTTATGCTTTCGTTTCCTCGGGTGTAAATAGCCGGGGGGAATTAGTACCCTCGCACGGCGCTTCGCGCCGTCGGCTCCGGTATGATATCTTGGTGAGTATTTAATAAAATTCAATGAAACTTGGTACACTTAGTGGGTGCACTCATATGAATATTTTGGGTAGGTCATGGGGTTGTCATGGCAACACGCTAGTCCCCAGTCTCTTCTCTTCACAACTTTCCTCGGGCCGTAGACTTCTTGCAGAGGATGTTTACATGTTATAACTGTATAAACTGATCACAATACCTACACGTATTATAGTAATAAGCGAAAATTGTAGAAATTGCTATTTATTTCGTTGAAAATGGATCATATAGAAATTCGAAGAGAAGGGACTGGGGACGAGTGTGTTGCCATAACAACCATATAAACAAATCAACATTGTTGACTTTGTTGCACCCACTAAGTATACCAAGTTTCATTACATTGTATTAAATACCATTAAATACACTTTCTTGTTATTGCCATTATCTCAACTCATACTTGTGACGTCACAACTCAAAATATACAAAGTGCGATAACTTGAGAATGAGATGAGATATGACGAAACTGTAAACGTCATTCTTCATCACTCCAGCATTACTTTTGAGAAAAACAATAAAAAATGAGGTGAAAATTTCGTTGCATAGGCACTTTAAGGATTTTCACGTTCTTTCGTACGTGGGAATACGCACTGTGACTGCTCTCAATAGACTAGTTAACTTCTAGGAATTTTCCATCCTTGATTGCGTAAATATTTCTTCACGTCTTTCATGGAAATGGGATGGAAATATGTCGCAATCTTCCGTCTGGACCACCATTTCCCATCGCGGGCGTTTCGACTGCCAAATTTTGTGAATTCGTAAAGATAATGTTCAGCACGGATATATCTGCAACACAATGGTGAACCTTAGCGAACGTTGGGTACCTTAGAGACTTGCTGGGGTTCTTTCAGTATATAGGCTGTTTATTCACTTCAGGATTCTGAGCAGCTCACTTGATACAACTATTTGTTGAAGGGTTTATAGATGGACATTTCGAATGGCAGTTCTATACATTTATTATAGACCTAACGAGGAGCTAGTTGCGATAAATCTAACTATACAGGGTAGGCCCTCTGACAGGAATCGAACCTGTGGCCCTGCGATTCCAGTGCAACGCTCTAACTGAGCTACAGAGGCAAGTTGTCGAGCTCTAACTATCCCACTCGATAGAATTCATTGTTGTCAAAACTTTTCACTTCAAACAGGGAACGGTTATCTACATCAAGGGACGGCTATTTATTTTAGGGGACGGTTATTTACATTAGGGGACGGTTATTTACATTAGGGGACGGTTGCCTACATATATCAGGGGACGCTTGTCTACATCAGGGGACGGTTGTTTACAACAGAGGACAGTTGTACGAAGGGCGGATAGCGTTATCCATCGGATAATGATTTTTGACAGTGACTACTGTATATGCGGAATTCGTTCGGGTTTCCAGTTAGCGGTTGCGCGGTAAAATATGGTGAAATACGTCACAAGAGACAGCATTCATAGATAACTAGAAATACATGCATGCAACAACCCCTCACCTATATTTTCCAAACATTGGTTCAACATGAAGTATTCGTAATCACGCCAACACTGAACGCAGGCTCGCGTTGCTCACGTCATGTTAGTCATGGCAACACTATAATTGTTTTTTTTTAATTTTTTGTACAAAACTGAAAAAAATAGATGAAACTTGAACACATTTAAATACAGAACTAACAATTTCTAAAATATATAAAGTAGGTATATTATTTTGCTTTCTAAGGGCTTTATTGAATGTAAAATTCAACACGAAACTCTTCGTAAAACGTTTTTAAATGTGAACTGAAATTAACTGCTTTTTGTCGATAAACTCGAGCTTCAACTTATTATTCGCACTTTGAAATGAAATAAATATAATTCATACAGGGCGCTAATGGAAAAAATTTGCTTTCTTTTTTTAACATGAACTTCTACAAAACTGTTAATTTAACTAAGAAACTTTCGCATGCAATGCATAGGAAAGACATGAACAACACGAACAAAATCGATATTATTAAATACAAAGTCATACATTTTCTCATACTAAATCAATTCGTAATGTTTACGTTTAAAAATTGAAAAAATGTTTTACTATTTGTTATGTGAAACGATTTTCCAAGCTTTCTCACATGTTTTTTTAATATGTTTGCTTCCTTCAACCCTGGCAAACAGCAATATTTGGAGATCAGTGAGATGAACACCCATACACATGCGCCCGCGATTATTGATGAACTTTAGACTTCGCCAATGCTCTCCCTTCCCCGGGTGTAAATAGCCGTGCGGAATTATTACCCTCGCCCCGGGCTTACGTCCGGAACGCAGTTGGCTACGGGATGAAATAAAGATCATTGCATTCAGAAAGACTAACTTAGCCCGCGTGCAGGCCCAAGGATAGTGGGCCTGCAAGCAAGAAATGCTGTGCAACAGGTGGGAAATTTGTCTGCGCATGCGCCAAATATTGCGCGGTTTAAGAGAAAGAGACTTGGGGCGAGTAAATACAGTAATTTGATTTTTGAGCGTTTTATTTGCGTTTTTGTCTAGTTTTTTTTGCTAACCAAAAGATTGTGAATCCATTGCATTGTTGGGAAGGCGAGGAAGGTGTGAGAACGTTTACAGGCTAAAATTATTAATAAAATTGCAACTTTTGCGTAACCTTGTATATCGGAACTGCCTCGGATTCCGATGGAAATGTCCAATAATTCCTACTAATCCGTATTTTTAGGTGAATGAATTATCTCCCAAATTAAAGTATATGTTTTAAGGAGTAGTTTAAACCATATTTGGTTTTGAGGCTCTCGGCTAGATTTTAAAATATTTTAATTTTTTTATTTTATTGTGCTAACCTTTACCCTCATAAATCACCTCCGTATTAAATTGGAGAGAGATGGAAACGTATTCGCATGATTCCAAAACTGCTTATACTTTCTGAATCAATAGGCTCTAATCTTTCAACGAATGTGCTTTTACGAACAGGATTAGCAAACACATGCAATTTCTAGCGGAATATTCAGAGGCACCTATTCAGACTACTACAGACCACATTAGACAGTTGTGCCGTTTTTGGTATCAACCCGTATTTTCATATAAACAATACTTTGATTAGTGAATTAAGAAGTCTTTGAAGAATCATTTAGAGATAGTCTCGTTTTGAGGCTCTCGACTAGATTTTTCACAATCTTACGTTGAAAATTTTGCTTTTTCCTATTTTTAGCAAAATCACGATTTTTGCACTAAGTGTTTTCAAGGATTTAATCATAAATAAACTTTCTAAAGATATTTCTGAGTAGAAAAATGCATTAAAAACAAATTTTAAACCCAACCTAAGTTTATTTTTTAAATTTCATCTGTCCAGGGAGTGAAAACAACTTGCATCTTGGAAAAAAGTTACTTTTCGTCAATATTTCGTCGTAGAAATAAATAGTTCATAATTGTCGGATTTCAGTTTAAAGTCTTTTATCCAGGACATTTTTCAATAGGCTTTGAATAAACGAACTTAAATTTTTGTACAACCACTGTTTTCTTCCCAAACGAGAGGCCTAAAAACTTGTTTTTGCTAATTTTAACAATTTAAAACAAAATTTTCGCTGGCGCCCGCAATTTACTGACCAGCGACAGCAAATTTCCCACCTGTTATGCTGTGCTGAATGGTTATATTACTACGTTAAAAAATAAGCAGAAACTCGACGTTTCGAGCGAAGGCCCTTCGTCAAGCAAGGCCTGGTATTTTGTAAAACGCCCCTTTTCATAACACGCCCCATTCGCGCGTCAATTGTTTTTCGGGGTTTTCTCTGCTTTAATATTCAAAATAGAAACAATGTGTAAATGGCTGTGTTTTAACTCCAAAAAAGCAAGCAACGCACTCAGTAATTGTGCTCATTTTCAACTAAAATCGTCTCAGTTATCAGATCGTGTGTGCAATTGTTGTTGGCGGCGGAAAGTACGAAATTTAGTTCAATTATTTCATTTGCTAAAGAACTCTATAAAAGG